CCTAAATGTTGTGTCAAATTTTTTTTCGGGGGGGGGGGGGAGGGGGGTTGGGGGTTTGAAATCTACATGTTAAAGATGTAACTATAAGTAAATAATTATTGTTTTTTATTAATTTAAACTTTTAAATAGAATTATAATTCGATAGAAATTGTCTTTCAATGCCTTCAAAAAATAGAATCGTAATTTGAGAAAATCTTATATAATATTGTTGGCGCATCGAAATAACCTAGACAATTGCTTCTAAAAAATAATAAATAAATAAAGAAGTAAGTTCTTAGGAGACTTTTAATTCTTTTTATCGTATCATCTGACATAGAGTTGACCGATTAGTTTGCATTTTGGTAGTTAATTTGATGGATGGACACGAATTCTACCCTCATGATCAATATGTTATCTTAATAGAGATCAAAGGTTCAGTCAAATCCAAGTCTTATCCGTCTAAAGAATTATTGTTGGTTCATTGGAGGACTATAAGTATGATGTACACTTGTTGCAAACTCAGCCTCCGTTTTGCAACCATTATTTTTAAATTACTTTTTCTACATAATCATTTTTAACACATTCACGTAATAAAATATTTCGCACATAAATTTTAAAAAAAAATCCTATTTTTTTATCACACATTCTTCTCAAAATCACTGTACAAAACATTGTTTTTCAAAAACAATGATTGTCAAATAGGAGCTTAAAACAATAAGGTTATATACCTCATGTACCGAATTAGACATGTAGAGAATTTTAGTATAAAAATATAATGCATATTATATAGAGAGTATTATGATGGATTACATGAATATATCCTTACGATTTTTCATTCAAATTGGCAATTATCTGATGAGAGCTCTATGGACTTGCTAATTTTCGAAACAAGTCAGGAGAAGTGTCTGTTTATTGTACTACTACCAAAATATTAGAGCGACTTGAGCTTCAAAATGCATACCAACATGTTACCACCCATGTTCCAACAATCGAGCATTCTATTGTGTGTTCCTAATGTCCATGTAAACATAGATGAGGGATGATTTGACTTTTATTTGTTGATACGGTATAATTTGTCAAATTTAGAGAGAAAATATATGGAAGCAATGAGCGTAAAGGTGTATAATCATTTTGTTTATCCAAAGAAATACTTCAGTAAGGCAATTTGCACGTCCATTTCATCTTCGAACTGTGATAGTAATTGAAAAACTAGCTAAAAAAACAAAAGGACAAATATCTCTACATCCATAAATATTACTCTAATTGGAAAAGGAGGCTTTTATAGAATATTAAATATAATTAAATAAATGTATTATCTTTATAGAGGTCAACCAACACAATATATTTATTTAACAAAAATTGGAGACATATTTACTAGAAAGTATGAAGCTTTCCTACACTCGAGGAGGCATAGTGCAAAATAAATTTAAATAACAAATTTATTATATTTCGAACGGTATAAACATTTTAATGAAATGGTTAGACGAAGACGATTTTAAATCAATATTGTATGTTCATTGAACTATAGATTATTAATTAGAATAATTATTTCAAAAAAGCTTCTTGCAGGCTATTAATTTAAAATAAACTGAAATTGCTGCAATTGATGTCCCATTCATATGCTTAGACATGAAGGCAGAACAGATCAAATCTAATGACTCCAAATTTGTTATGGTTTAGGCCCTCACATAATTTTATACCCTTTTGTTTATTAAATTAAATTTTCTTTTATTCTAATACAAATTAAAATAAATATAGCTATTACAAGAAGAAACTAAAACATATGAAAATTTTCTATTCCCTTTGTTTGTCAA